AATCCAGTCCACCACAATTAGGAACATCATTGGTGATAATAAGCACCCTTGTCTGACTCCTGTGTTTACTCCAAACGCTTCGCTGAGTTTTCCGTTGTGGATCACTTGACATGTGCCGTTGTCGTACAGTTGTTGAATAAGGTTGATGAATATTTGCGGTACGCCGTAGTACTCGAGTAGTTTCCAAATTACTTCGCGGTCAACGCTGTCGAAGGCCTTCTCAAAGTCTATAAAGTTGAGGTAGAGATTTGATTGCCATTCCATGCTTTGTTCGATGATAATGCGTAGAGTTGCAATTTGGTCAGAACATGATTTGCCTTTCCTGAATACAGCTTGTTCTGGTCGGAGTTCTGTATCCAGCGCGTCCTTGATTCTCTCCAGGATGATGCGACTCAGGATTTTACTTGGCGTCGACAGGAGCATGATTCCTCGCCAGTTCTTGCAGAGTCCCAGGTCGCCTTTCTTTGGTAGTTTCACTAGGTAACCTTTCCTCCAGTCAGTAGGCACCTTTCCGTCTTTCCAGATCTTTTGCAATAATGGAGTCAGCATATCTGCCGTCGTTTCTGGGTCCGCTTTCAGTGCTTCCGGGGGTATTCCATCTGGTTCAGCTGCTTTTCCAGCTTTCAGAAGCTTGATTGCATTCATGACTTCAGTTTTCGTTGGAGGATTGGTGTCAACTTGCAGTTGTGTACGTGCTGCTGTTGGTATTACTGGACGGGTTGTAGGTGGTGGTCGGTTCAAGAGTCCTTTGAAGTGGTCCGCCCATTGTTTAATCTGTCTTTCTTCTTTGGTAATTGGGTTCCCTTGGCTGTCTTTTATAGGTTTCACTTGTGTTGATCTCTTCCCGGATAGAGACTTGGTTATCTGATATAGTGTCCTCAGGTCCCTTTTGCCTGCTGCCTTCTCAGCTTCACTAGCCAGGTTGTCGTAGAATTGTCTTTTGTCCTTCCTGGCACTCTTCTTCACTTCTTTGTCCAGTGCTGTGTAAGTTGAGCTCAGCGTCTCTTTCTCTTGTCCATCTTTGCATTGAATCATTTTCTCTTTCACTTTTCTCCTCTCCTCTATTAGTTTCCAAGTGTCTGTTGAGAGCCATTCCTTGTCTTGTTTCTTCTTTCTTCCTAAAACCGTTGAGCACGTTTCGTTGAAAATTACCTTCAGAGAGTTCCAATGGTCTTCCACGGATGATTCCTCAGTGGTGCCACGTAGTGTTTCCTGCTTTGCTCTGACAGTTGCAGTGAAAATGTCCTGTGTGATTGTGTCCTTCAGTTTGTGAGTGTTGAACTTGCATTGTGGCCTATCCCCAGGTATCCTCGAGGCTTTCAGCTTCACTTTGAAAGTCCCTTGTACCAGATAGTGGTCTGAACCCACATCTGCTCCTCTCCTCGATCTTGTGTCCAGTAGGCTCCGTCTCCACTTCCTTGAGATTGAAATGAAGTCTATCTGGTTTTTGGTGTGTCCATCTGGTGAAATCCATGTTGCCTTGTGTATATCCCTGTGTTTGAACACACTGCCACCTATCACCAAATCATTGAAGGCGCAGAAGTCTGAGAAGAGTTCGCCATTTTCGTTCATTTCACCGAGGGCCTCACGACCCATGGTGAGTTCTCTTCCTGTATTGTCTCCTCCCAGTTTCGCATTCATGTCGCCCATCAGGATTTTGATATCGCTCTTTGGGACGTTGTCCATTACTGTTTGTAGTTGACTGTAGAAATCCTCCTTCTTCTCATGTTCTGAGGCGTTTGTAGGCGCGTAGCACTGAATGGTTGTAACCTTCTTTCCTTTTGAGTTGAACCTGGCTGTCATTATCCTGGAGGAGATTGGTTCCCACTGCATGAGAGCTTTAGCCGCTGTTGGTGACATCATGATGGCTACTCCCTCGGTGTGCTCGTGATTGTCCTCTGGGTGACCGGAGTAGATTATTGTCTCTCCAGTTGATAGTTGGCTCCTTCCACATCCATTCCATCTGCTCTCGCAGATTCCCAACACTTCTATTCTATATCTCCTCATTTCTGCGGCTACCTGAGCAGCCTTCCCAGCTTCGTACATTGTACGAACATTCCACGTCCCCATCCTTATTTTCGCTTTCATCGAAAGAAGGCACATCGGCTGACTGGCTTCCCGAAGGCTTTCACCAGCCCGCGTCATTTCACTTCCCCGATTCCAGCGAAAAATAAGGTCACTATTTGTAATTTTAGAATTTTGAATATAATTGTGCGTTGAAGTTTTAGTAGCAATTTGGTTAAGTTTTGGTGGTGGAGTTGCTAGCACCACGCCCCAACCCTCCCTCTTTATCCGGGCTTGGGACCGGCTAGAATACTAGTGACCTAGTAATCTAGGCGAGGTTTAAAGAGAAACATAGAAGAAGTTAATACGCAATTTAGCTGGCACGCCTAAACACTGATATAATGCTAATTCGAACATACAGTCATGTATATACATGAATAGGTTAAACTGTGGAGATTCTTTGCTTTTTTCGCTCCAAGAAAAAGTGCTTATTTTGGAAGAAATTGGTTGAACAAGTTTTTGGAAGACAATCAATTGGAATACGATATTTTATTGAGTTATGATTCGTTTCATCTTGACTTCTAGAGCATTCTCGAAGTGAATTCATTCCGAAAGATTTATCACAACATGCCTTAACGCAACTGTAAGCAGCTCACTCAGTGTTAAATTGCATTGACTGGGGTTATTCTCAATGAAGATGAACAGTCATAAGTAACAAAAGAGATAATAATTAAAAACAAACATAAATTAGATATCAATTGAACGAATTTTATATTTATTAAAGAAATTAACTCAAACAAGGTGATAACCAGTGTGATTTACAAAGTATTTCATTGACTTTTTGTCAACGGAAGGTTAGAACTTTGGATGGAGTACTTTAGAGGATAGCTGTGTAGCTAACATGTAAACTGACTGACTGGTGTCAGCGCAGAACTTTGCACAGATGTGCAGCAGTTCGAGTAGCAAAACAAGAGAAGAGATTAAAGAGAGACATTAAAGCAGAAATGCGAGGCAAAAAGAATAGTAATATGGAAGAACACCAGAATTTAACTGGACATTAAAAATCACAGAGAGTGAATGCATCTGCGCCAGCCATTGAGAACGATTTTGAGCCATATTATAGATTGTCCTCAGTTATTTGTTCTTAGAATCCCAATGACCCCATTCGGGAAGTGTATATCTGCCAACATGGCTTAAACTAAGTGTTATGGATTTCATTGACTTGTGAAGCCATATTTTGGTTTGACCACCACTGGCTCTTTTCCACCCTGATCAATCCGATGTCAGCTAACATTGCCCGTTGTCGAGGAAGGAAATGGCTAGACTAGGCATGTGTAACACATGTCCTAATTATCTCAATCAAAGGAACTTCACAAGCTCGTCAATTGATTTCCCCTCCTTACGTACCACTCGACCGAAGCCTAACCTCAATATTGCTCACCCTATTATACCACTTCACACGAGAGATAGAACACAGAAAATTATGATTAAAGACAGCCTTTTCATGTCTTCCACTTTCAATGGCCATGCCTCACAGCCATAAAAGAGGACGGAGTGGACTGCTGAGCAGTACACACGCCTTTCGGTCGATAGCCGGTTATTACGTCTACGCCAGAGGTGGCGTAATTTGGCAGACATATGCCAGATGAGGCTTCTGTATCCATGCTGAGATTTCGTCAGCGATCAACCCGCTGGTGTTTGCTGATTCTAGTTCCCAAATAAGTGAAGTGTTCAACTCTCTCTACCACTTAACTCCCTATCTTTAAATTAGGAGTCAATGTAGTCCAGTCCCGTAGCATCATTTTACATTTGACTGCAGTGAATCGCATACCAAATATAATAAGATTGCTGCCCAAGGTGTTCAAAAGACTCTGCATTTTTTCAGCGTCTTCACTCAGAAGGATTATGTCATCTGCATGTTCTAAACCAACGAGATTACTCCCTGGTAACAAGTCAATCCCTTAGTCTCTGAAGTGAGGTAGGGTTAAGTCGATTAGTGCGTCTATGATGAAATTGAATAGGAACAGGGATAGTAGACATCCCTGTTGGACACCACTGGACAGTACTTTTGATGACAACTCTCCGCATTCTCTCACCTGGCTACATGAGTTCGAGTAGAGTGCTTTGTGATCAGAGCGTTTTGTTCTCTCAGTATTCCCTTCACAGCCAAACATCGCCATAGTACCTCTCGGTCGACAGGATCGAATGCTGCTTTCAAGTATGCACGTTCATTATATATGTGCTATGTAACTGTGTTAAAAGCATTGATTCGTTAATTGTCATCATAATCCAGAATGTTTACTCGAATCTGTGCACCACACATAAGTTTAAAAGTCAAGAATCACCTGGGGTTAATTAAAATATGGCATAGAGGTCTTTGTTTGTTATAGTTTTAAAAAGGTGCACAAAGAATTTTGTTTGCTAAATATGTACGCATAAGTTGAATATACATATTCCCTAAGGTTTTACTTGTCACTCGCATTTAACACCTAAATCAAATTGCCTTGTTTTTAGACGGGAATACGTAGTTATCAGATATCCGCTTACAACGCTTCTTGTGAGCTCTAACGAGGTAGGGAGTTTTAAAATCCTAAATGTTTTTTGTCGTAATGAAATCTGCTTCAACTATCATTTCATTTGGAGATTAGGGGTGATAAGGTATGCGAATTATTTGTCCAATCATAATCAATGTATCTATCTAAACCGAAGTGAGTTTATCGAAAACTGTCTACCGGGTATTTAACTTTGGTCCATAAAATAAATGACATTAAGCTACTCTGCATTGTGGTACGCTTTAATTTGATGTTGGATGTTACGAATAGTCAATCAATAAGATTATGTTTAGTCATAGTTGGTTGAAGTGTTTTATGATTTCTATAATACTGATGCCTATTGAAAGACCATAATCCTCTTAATTCACTCCAACTGTTGGTGACGTGGTGAGTTAATAGTCTTTTTTGTTTTTTCTTCTTTTAATTCGTATATTTGTGCTATAGATCTCCTAAGCGTTCTCTGCGTCGCTTCTCTCAAAATGTCGGCGGATCTCAACAACAACAACAACAGACTGGCCTCTTTGGAAGTGCAATCATGAATGTTTTCGGCAGCCAATCGAGTAAGTTATAAATGTGTGAATTACTTGAAATAGATCACGTAATCATTATTGACACTCATAAAGTCACAAAATTTTCTTCATTAAAACATCTAATATAACTGAATTACCTAAAAGTAAAGATTAAAAGCCTATTCAAACCACACAGCTACAAAGTTGGTAATCAGTTGGGCTTTAAACAGATTTTTTTCTTAGACCACGACTTACCACTGACCTCTTTTCAGTGAATGTCATAGTTACACGATTATTACTATATTATTCCTTTGGGTTACGAGTGGAACATGAGACTTCAACACCACATCTCCATTTCATTCTGCTTTCTACTGTCCTTTTTAGCTGGCTCCACGATTGCTTATAAGCTTTCACCACTCCTTAGATGTCACCATTGAGGCGACGCCCCACTCGTCGTTTCCCTTTCAGGTTCCACCTAAATTAATGTTTCAGGCATCATTTCACACAACGGTTTAGAAAATGGGATCTTAAAGTCAACAATTAACAAATTCCTGCTGGACAAAAGGTACGCCGATGACCCTTTTATAGTTTGTCATCATGATTCTGATTTAAATCGTATCTTAAAGGAGCTGATACTTAACCTCGAATTAAAAAGTGATACCAAAGCAGAACTTCTCCATGGACGGCTTTCAAAGTCTCTCAGTAAAACATACTTCACCACCAGCCTACGAGGAACATTCTCCTGCAAGAAACTATTCAACCAGCACGTGAAAGACAAGCTGTCGCATTGGGCCACTTCAGCATGCATATACAAATTCACTTGCTCGTGTAGAGCCGAGTACATTGGCCGTGCCAAGCGTCCGCTTGAAAAACGAGCGCGGGAACACCATCGAGCATGGTTAGCAAAGAAGAATGCAAGGGGGTATACAGTTCGGCAACAGAAAATCTGGTGAATTCAGAACAATCTGCTCCATTTGAAAAGTCCTTCAAAATCATGTACGGGATCCGAACAAACCTATCAAAGGGAGTGATATCAAAGCATCTAGGTGTAGCTGAGGCAATGGCGATCCAAAAGCTCAAGCCCACGCTATGTGTTTAAAAGAAATACGTCCAACCGTTGTCCCTACCGTGGCTGTCGTCAAAAGTCAGTCCAACCAATAATGATTATCCTATTACCATTCGTATCCAACCTTCCTGTTTATTTCTGTTGTTTTTAAGTTTGTAGTTCCTATTTGCATTACTGGATTTTTTAAAAATATATTCGCACTTCCTACCTATTTTGTTATCGCTACATCCTTAATCCGTAGTTGCACAAACAGTCAAGTTTTCCAGTCATTATGATCTATTATGTCTTTTCTACCCGATCTTCCTGATTACTACACTTTGTATTTTGTTAATTTGACCTTTGACCTGAAATAATTCTGGAACTTTCTCTCACATTTACTATAAATACCTGAGTGTAAAGCCTATTTGTTGGCTTTGTCTAGGAGGAAATTTTCGATGGGACCGTTGTGAATGATGCTCATGAAAAGGAAATCGAATTGATACGTGGTGAAAGTGAAGCTTTAATACTATCTATCTCTTAATTAGTTATCAACATGAGTGATGGCAGTTGCAAACTCTTGGATGCTTTGGTCTAATGACCTACATCACTTTATTTTGTGTATGCTAAGTTATATTTTTGTGGTGTAAGCCATTGTGAGTTTCTTTCTTGTTTTTTACTACGATAAATTAAAATCTGATTTACGCTGAATCAGTATGAGCAAGTTACGCGAATAATCTCTAACTGTTGATTCTTCATGTATCTGGAGCATCTGAACGGGGGAATCGACACTGAGTTGTAACAAAATTTACATATATTTCGTGTTATATTTGACCTCCATTGAAGTAGTACTTCAGTTATCATTGCTTGTCTGGAAATGAATACTGTAGATGAACTACTCAGTGCCTAATTTGGGGATATATATATATATATATTCAGTGTTTTTCACCAACCCATTGATTAGCGTGATCACTAGATATTCATCAAGACAGAGAATTAGACAAAAACAATCATCACCATCTTACCTTCATTTCATGAATACACGAAATCATTTGTCTGGTGATCATACTTCTAAATAAATATTTAAAAGATAGTGATATTCCTGTGCAGATTGTTTTGAGAACCAAAAATCTTCTAATTTGAATCTACTTGACTCAATGAGTGGTCTCAGGGCACATGAAGCTGAAAAAATGCATACATCTGAGTGGTAGGTGATTCTTCTAAAAACTGTCTTATCCCAACCATCAATGTTTGTTTGCTTAATCAGCATTATGATGTAAATTCACAAAGTCCGCTTAGTTTGAATCTTAGCTTATCGGTGGTGTATATAACCACTGCCTTATTTGGGTGAACTTATCATACCTACAGTTAAGATAAGTTTGATAGGTAGTACGTGCGCTTTATTAATATGTGTAAAAACTTCACGAAGAATTCTTAACTATGAAGGAACAAAAGTGGCATTCAATCCCACAAACTCAATTAGAAATAAGCTTTGTCGGTTAAAGGATCCTGTGGAGCCAATTAAACAAAACAATCTAGTTTATCTAATACCCTGCAATGATTGTCAGGTTAAATACGTAGGTCAAAGTAGTAAATCAGGGTTAGTCAGACTAGTGATTCAGCACCTGTCCAGCTGGACATCTGGAGAATTCTAATACCCCTACGACAATGAATAGGAAAAAATAAAGAAAACTATAAAGCTCAAGTTTCGAATTTACGTGATTATAATTGTTATGATTATGAACAATAAGTTGTGTTCGAAACGTCATCTAGTAAATAATACTGTTTCACTGTATGATATATCTAATCAACAAATATGATATGAAATACACACGCATTCTTAACAAGTTTCTCTTTCCATCTAAATAAATTTTAAACCGATATACACTTACTTCCAAGCAAGAAAAACAGCCATCTAATACTTAGATCTGTACAATTTGGAGAATGAACAGTGATTGATATTGATGAATTTTAACTACCCTTATCAGCCACATAGTAGTCTATCTCGATTCTTCTTCGTATTTTTTTTTCATGGAAAATGAAATGTGTTGATTAAATTAATTGTAATGAACAGCGAATTTACTCGACAACGGAAATCATTGTGACTTAAGGTCAAAATAAAATTGACCTAATAGTATGAGTGTAAAATAAGTATATATATATAACGAGCTGGAAACGAGACTGTAATAATATTTTCGCTAGTAATGATAACAAAATCAAATTTTATCAGGTCATATTGCAACTGATTACTGTATGATTTTTATGAAAAGTCAACTGTCGATTTATTCTTCATCAGTATGCTTAAGAATGTACGAGACACATACCCATGGAATATATATTCTTAAGAGCAGTGCAATACTCTGGAAGCAGCCAAGAAGCATGACACTAGACTATGAGTCTGTAATTGCCATCCGAACTGTGTAAGGAACCGTATTTTTCATTTTTATGATTATTATTTAAACACAAACTTGGTACATTATGGGAACCAAAAAATGCACCACACAACGTCTCATGGTTTGTGCGAGGGCTGGGATACTGCCCGTACGTCCAGACGGAAGTAGGTGGTTTTCTTAAAAGGCCACCCACGAATCTTTGACTTCAAGTCTAATACATAAGGCAGTTCAGCAGCATCAGGAGCTACGTCTGCATGGTTTTCGGTGACCGGACCAGGTGAATAAGTCATTCTATCTGTTTGGATTCTGGAGCCCATGTATGCAATAGGTTGGGATTTAGAGTTTTCCAGCTCATCCAGATAGATCTTCATATCTACCAGTTCAGTCGTAAACACCAGACATTGGGATATGCCCTTTCACTTTTGTGAGGATCACCCCCTCCATAGTTTGAAGGCAGTGAATAAGACTTACCTAGTAGGAGCTTTGAGCGCATGGTCACATGAGATCAATTTGATAGCAGGACCGAGGTCTATCCACCTCCCGCCGTACCAGGTCGCTTATAGGAAATTGTAGGCTGGTTAGGTTTAGGTAGATTGATGACTATTATTGTTCTATCTTTGTTTTGCACCTTATCTTCATTCCAATCACAATATTTAATTTTGATATTTGTTTTATATTTCCACTAAATTTTGTTTCCCCGTAGTTTAGAACTAGTGAATTTTTATCTTTTTTTTCTTTTTTGCCTACATCTTGTGTGCTGCATTAATACCTACATCTGAGCAGTGTACAATTAACAGTCATTGCTTAAGTAGGGTGAACTAAAAAAGTAAACGAAAGTAATTTATGACTTGTTGATGTAAACTTTGTGAGACTAAGATTAGCTGCTTTGCAGAACCATAGTATAGAGGGAATTTGACACATCTAAAGCCATGGAACTTCTGGATTAAATTCACGATCTGCTATTTACAAGTCACAATATTTGATCTGTTTGATACCGTAGATATTAATCAAGAGAGCAAGCATAAATACATGATGCCATGTACTATTGATTGATTGATGTGAATAGCTGGAAACCACTCACATCAACTACTGGCACTTGCTAACCAGATCAAAGTGATGTTAACACTTGGATGGTCTCTACTCTCTTTCTTTGGTACCGAGTTCATTAGCGGTGTGTCCAGTTCAACTGAACTGAAACGGCTGGATCAGTTTAAACCACCTGAATTCCTCCTAGCTCCTGGTTTATACACTTTTTGCAGACAATACTACTTGTAATGTCTTACTTCCATTGGATTTGAGAGAGTAATGTGTGCATCTGCTGGGATTATTCCTATTTGTCTCATTTCCTTAAGATTGTTTTTCCGTCACTATAATTGCTGTTATAATCGGCATAATTATTGACCTACAAATCACCGGTATCGGTTACAGTCACATTTTTACTAATACTAGAATAAATTATTAGTCGTATCCAACTGAAAACAATATTTTTGTTTGCTTATTATATGTATTCTTTCACGAATGAGATTTCTACTCGGTGTATACTTTAAATGGTAGATATAATTAAGCTTTAACTAAAACGGAAGTGTCAAAACGTAATCTATGTATAGTGTTTGCTG